CCTCAATTTTCAGTGATACCTAACCTGCTGACTACTCTGCATATCTTTTCCTGGTCGGACATTTGTCAGGAGGGGGCAAATTACCCCCTTGCCCCTCCTTCAAATACGCTAGTGCTTGCATGCATGTAGAAAAATCAGTGCACAAAAGAATAGTGTTTACTGATCAGCGTTGAGATCAATCATGTCAAGTGAGATAGTGAAGTATTTCAGCAAACTGTGTTTTCTAGCTAGGTCCGCCGACCAAACAATATCATTATAATGCCAAACTTGATAACGTAAACGAATATTGTTGCTCTAAGATCAAGACCGTCCTTAAGTCTGTTAGACCCCAAACCCCAGCCATACATTACTTGTATCTTGGTTGAAATAAGAGGAATGGGAAGATTATGTGAGGGGGTCATCCTTTCTCTTCTCTCTCTCTCTCTCTCTCTCTCTCGATCTTGGCCTATCATTGTTTTGGATATTTCTTTTACTTGATGGCCAACGAAATTGGCGGAATCTGCTCAATAACTACACCACTAAATGTGCTCAAATATTGGAGTACCTTAATTTCATGATTAAAGTTTTGGAGTGAATAAAGTCATCATTATACGAACCTAGCTTAGGCCTAATTGAGATTTCAACGCTCTGCTGCAGCTAGTATTCCGGTAACGTCTGTTGGTGACGCAGGGCTGCGTCAGCGACTGATGCTGTCTATGACGCGCCATGCATGCGAGAGTGAGATCGTATCGAAAGTGAATGTATATAGCGTAAATAGAGAAAGCATAATTATATGGCAATATAAGTTGAATTACTGACGCATGAGTTAATTGACCTAACAGGATTAGTCAGCGCAGAGCGCAGAAAATAATGATGTATCGGGTTAAACGGGCATAAGGTTTAGTTATTTTCTAAAAGTGATTTCACTCCTTCATTGTGAGATCAGTGATGAACTATGATTGATAACATGAAAACATCGCCTGCTAGTGCCTTGGCTCTAACTACACACACGGTATGATGGATGATCATGGTCCATCTAAAGGAGGGAAGACATTGTTTACCAGATTATTAACAGTCTTGTTCAAACAAAATACAATTGAATAAAGTTATGTAGGGGGCCCACTGTTTCATATTCCTATTATATGTATGTTTGTTTATTAGGCGTTCCTGTTGCAATAAATTCCAATGTGACAGACATTGAAGTTTCCCTCTTTAGATGAAAGATGGACCGCTGTCAAACTCAAAATTATTTCGTAACCTGACAAAAACTGAAGTCAACTTGATAAAATGGTGATTATACACTTATTAGCCATAATTGTTTATTTTTGTTTGAAATTGCACACTATTCTTAAATTGTACTTGCTTTATCGTTTCTTTTGTAAAATGTGAAGAAAACAAATAGAAGAAATAATAAAGAATTAAATCAAAAGCTCTTTTGTAGTTCTCTTCTTGAATTATTATGTGTGAAATGTAAAAAGATAAAAGCTTCATTTATATTGTGCGCACATACCCATCCCATGCAAGGGATGCTCAAGGCACTTACAAAGGTTTATTATTAAGAATATGATGGATATTAAATAAATAAGATTAATTTGATTTTTTTTTTAAATAATAGTCATTAACTTAGATCTTTACTTATAAGGCGCACATTATAATTATAAATGGGTTAATCATCATACAGCATGATAAAATTCCCGCGAGTAGAAGTTTAGTTTATTACATATTGAATATATACATTTGTAATGTGCATATTTTGGACATTCATCAGTGAAATCATTAACTTAGATCACCCATTTAATTTCATTTATTTCCATATTCAGTTTCATTTTTTTTTTTGGGGGGGGGGGGAGGGTTAAGATAGAATGCGGGAGAGTAACTTTTATGTATTTCCCAAAAGCTTTGCAGTTTCTTTGTCGTGAAATTGATACGGGTGGGATGAAGGAATATCATATCTAACAATATATCTATAAGAATTAAGTGATTTAGTTTTTTTTAAAGTCTTGACAAAGTTGAGTTTATATTCTTTGAAATAATCTGTTATTCGTTGTTATAAGATTACGTCATTGATTTTGTATCGAGTTCGTCAAATTTGGTGCCGAAGAATGCTCTTATCTGCTCACAATTCAAATATTTCTCTCAGGCTTCCGTGTAGCATCGGTGTGCCAATTAGGAACGTAAAATTAGAGCCTTTATTCTGAGAGTCGGGGTAATTAAGACAGATATATTCAACGACGTCAAATAGAATTGTTTGCTGATCATCTGGACATCTCCCGGATACTATCTTTGTTGCTACCTTGTAATCTTATTTACTAATCAAATTGTCGAATCCGGACTTACAACACGGTCAACATGTATACACACCTAAAATAAACCTCACCGAGCAGACGTACTACTTGTATATACCATATCTCATTCGTGAGCAATTGCTAGTACAACATTACAGAACGCGTGATTTTCTTTTTCTATATTGTTACGACGGCGTCGTCTTTACTTACTCCACACTAACGAACTGTTGTTAGACTTAAATTTTCAATCAGCCTGATGCGGGGCCTATGCCGCATTGATAGAACCCTTTTTTAAATATAAATTCCCTTATATCAATGTACGATCGATAAGTTAATGTTTTTTTATATAATTATTTTGAAATAAATTTGGTTTACTGCTGGGATAACCACCCAACGAACAGTTCGATTCTTTTACGATAAAAACGAGGCTTGACACAAAAATGTGGATGTGTGTGTGTGCGTGCATTGCGAAACCAAACTTCATCGACGCTGATTTCTTTGAAGTCCAACATCCAATTTTTAAAAAAAAAACGTTTCTTTCCTTTATTCATAGACCTAAGGTTGAAATGCCCATTTTCACTTACAAGGAAAAAACAACCTTCCTGGTCAGATTAAGTAAATGAAAGTAGAAAAAATTAAAAAATAGATGACAAAAAATCTGACAATTGTGTTCTGGGATCCAAATTAATCTATGAATTGGCATCGACTGTGATGTATTTGCAAACAACGCCCCACTTTTTCCCTCAAATAAAATAAGTTACCATATGCATCATTTCCCATTGTTTTAAAACTAATGATTCTTACAAACATGATAATAGTGCTTTGAGCCAAGCGAAGTGCATATTTATATGAATTCGTTCACGCAAATTACCCCTGACGATGGACTGAAACTTTGTGTAAGTCTTTTATCATCTAAAGTAGTTTAACTGTTCTTGATTTTTAGTATATACCGTCAATTCCTTATTATTCAATCTAACAGTAAAGGTACAATTCCCGATGACTGGAATTTCTTTTTACCACAGCACGTAATAGAGAGGTTTCTAAATTAGAGAAAGAATTAATAATTATTGAACGATATCATTAGTCGGTCATATTGCGAAATTCTCTAACAGGGATATTCATCTTATAATATTTAAACAAAATATATATATTAGTGATCTTTATTTTTTTTAATTATTATATTTTTTCGTTCTTTCGATAATTTTGAACAAAACATCATTTGCGAGCGAGCGAAGCGAACGAGGACAATTTTTAAAGATTTGTGAGGTCGCAGTGCGCAAAATTACACCTTATAAAGAGGAAAAGCCCAATCCTGATAGGGTTATAAGCACATTCTCATAACAGAAGACTGAAAAGGCTTTTGATAAGTAACACAATTATATCATCTATAAATATCATCGTAAATTGCTCTTAGTCACTTGAAATTAGGGGCACGTTTAATGATGAGAGAAAAAGGGGAAACTTATCGAAAGGGATCAGACACTAATTAGAAAAGAAAATGAGCACGTGTCAAAGAACAATGGGCAATAATCAGAGATGAAAATGGGGTACTTCTTATACCTACAAAAAGAGACACTTATCAGGATGGGAAATGGGCATTTGTCGACGGTTAAAAGGGCACCCATCAGATTTTGATAGGGGCATTATTTTATAAGAGGTGAAAAGGGGCATTTATGAGAAGGGGTTAGGTCCCTTATTAGAAAGGAAGTGAGGCACGTAGGTGAAAAGTGGCACTAATCGCAACTACCAAAGGAGCACTGATAAGAATGAAAAAGGGGCATCGCTCAGATTTTAATAGGGGCATTTATTGAAGGTAAAAATGGGCTTTATGAGAAGGGGGAAGTGGCTCTTATAAGGAGAAAAAAGAGCATTTATTAGAAAGAAAGGAAAAGGGGCCCGTGTCAAAATAAAAGGGGCAGTTATTAGCCTAGTTATTAGTGATAAATAGAGCACGTATCAGGAGAGGAAGAGGCAATCGTCAAAGTAAGGCGAGTCTCTCAGATTATGAATAGGGGCAATTATCAGAGGTGAAGGGTACACTTATCCGAATTGAAAAGGAGTAACTTCTCCTACCTGAAATGGGTCATTTACCAGAGATAAAAGAGGGGCATTTATGAGAATGGGAAGGGGCTCTTTTTTAAATAGGGGTACTTAGAATTAGTAAACAGGAACTTATTAGAAAGTAAAAGGGGCACGTGTGAAAATATAACGTCGCACTTATCAGAGTTTAAAAGGGGGTAGTTATTAAAAAGGAAAGGGGCACTTCTTACAAAGGAAAAGGGGCACTTTTCAAATCTTTGAATAGGGCAATTATCAAAGGTGAAGGGGGCACTTATTAAAATTGAAAAGGGCACTTCTTGTACCTGAAAAGGGGCACTTATACTAGAGATTAAAAAGGGCACTTATGAGAATGGAAAATGGATACGTTTGCAAAAGAAAATGAAAACATGTCGAAGGAGAAGGGGCTCGTGTCAAAATTAAAGGGGCACTTATCAGAGGTGAAAAGGAGAATAGGCACTTTTACAAATTAATAGGGGCATTTTCAAAGTAAAAGGGCACTTTTCCTATGTAAAAAGGGGCACTTTGGGGTAATTGAAAAGTTGGGAGGGCCGCTGGCTATTGTATACCCTTTCTGACTAGTGTTTCTTTTAGTTTGAGTTAGCATAATATGCTCTACTACTTCAATAAATTGTTGATTGACATATACTTTGTAAATGTACTCTAGTGTCATGTTTTAGAAAGTTACAATATCATTCTATTTCACATTCTTCATTGTACATGTATTGTCATTTTTTATGATGTTGATCTGGAAATTTAATGTAAATCTATTTTCGGGCAAATCGAGTCTAATTCTAGATGATATATTCTGATGAATGAACTTATAAAGGAATTACAAATTTCTTAAAAGTTCAATTTTATCGGTTTTATGAGTGGGAACAAAATATAAGAATATTGCCCTATTTTAAAACACAATGACATATAACCGATTTTCTAATTTGATATTAGCATTTTACGTAGGATAATAGTGATTTCCACATTTGAAAATCTATAACTTTCGTACTGTTGAAAGTGTCACAAATTCGTTTCTTCTGGTTTTCTGCTTAGTATAAACTTGCTATAAGCGTTAAATTGATCAGTAATCGAATCAAATCTTTCAAGATTAACATTGGTTGTATTCAATGTTGTGACCTTAATCAAAACAATTGTTCTCTCAATAAGGAATCATTTTTCCATGTCAAGGAAGACTTCTTATTTCAGCTTCATTGATTTGTTCATCCCCAATTTTGTGCTGTATTATATATTTTTTTGCTCCTATATCAATTCATGTAATTTCAATTGCTTTCAGTAAGACGCAATTCGTGTAATTAAATAAGACCAACGAAACTCAAAACTTTGTGCAATGAAAACTCGATAATAATATAAAGTACAATATGTTTCGAAGTTAAATATTTGCTCATTTTTTTTATAACAGTATACAAAAAACTTGACCTTTAAATGTTTTAACTATAATACATGGTATTTCACCTATACAGATGAACTTTCATGATTTTATAGAGTACAAGATGTTGATTCAAAATTTGATGTACCGGTTCATTAAAAACAATGTAGAAAGCTTACAATCAAGTTGTCGATGATGGTCTGGTCTTCTGGAACGTCCTTGTTGATAGCGATGAGGACGTTCTCGTAGCCGCCATCTTGAATCGTAATACTGTTCCTCAGATCTGAACCCGAGACTCCAGAAAACAAAACCAAACAGCAGACGACAACGCTCATTTGTATCCTACCCGTCATCTTATACCTTGTCGTTTCGAAACTCTTAGCTACAAAGTGGAAAAGGAGCACAGATGCTTGGTATTTATGGATAGGGCAATGTTTACACCAACTGGTCAATATTAGGCTTGAGAATTTCGACCTGCCCCGTTTTATGAATCAACATGCAGAAGTATTCTTCCAATATTTGCAATCATGCGTTGCATGAAGATGTTTGACTGCAGATTACAAGGTGCGGCTACCGTCTTTAAAAGCCTTTTGCGTCTGCAAGGTAGACAAATGGCCTTCTCAGTTGGAATAAATAGTAGGCATATCTTTGTTAGAGATTGAAGTTGGTGTCGTGTGCAAATTAATGGTTTTTTTTTTCGTGTTGCAAGTTTGACTACCGATCAAGACAATAGTGATTAAATAATCAATCCAATGGTGGATCCGTGCCATCTCTACCCCCCCCCCCTCCCCCGTTAGAAGCCCTAGTGGTATTCTCCTAATATTACACAATATCTAAGAAATGTGCCCTTTCTCTCTCTCTCTCTCTCTCTCTCTCTCCCTCTATTCTTTTCTCTTCTCTCTCTCTCTCTCTCTCTCTCTCTCTCTCTCTCTCTCTCTCTCTCTCTCTCTTTCTGTATATATATATATATATATATATATATATATATATATATATATATATATATATATATATATATATCTCCTCCTCTTTCTTTGTCTTTTTTTTATTGAAACTCTACATTAAAAGGCATGTACCACAAAATCCGACGACTATTTTTGGTTTTGTTATCTGATTATTTCCAGGATTATGCCCCCTCCTTTCACAAAATCCCAATCCGCCCCTGAGTCCTACCATGAACCTAATACTATCGAATCGTGAAGGTCACGGAATTCACTCTGGACTTCAACAAGTGCACATTTACGTCACATGTGTTTATTTTGTGTTTGAGAGAAAACTAGCTTGCCCCTCTCTATTAGCAAAGCAATAAAGGTAGCTGACAACTTCGTAGTGTTTATTCTTGTGGGTGCAGTCAATAAAGGGAAAGAGTGTTCTTTTGACTTTAATTAGTAATAAGTAGTCTGGATTGTATGAAATTGTATTTCAGCTCTGAAATATATAAATGTAGAGGCCTCGTGGTCTAATGGATACTCGTCGTCGGACTATGTACGTTGGTTCGCGGTTCGGGTCCCAACGCGGCACTATATGTTCCTTGACAAAACGTTAATTCTCTTCACTCTACACCCAAATGTACCTGGCAGGAATGGGTAACTGGCAGTAATTTATTCCTTTCGTGCTTTGTGCGCCGAGTAATGACAGTAATCCGTATAGGCACCTTTACCAAACTATGCGATGGATATAATTGTATATAGACTTTCAACAACAAAACACTTTTTTAAATAGGAAAACTTCTTTTGTCATTTATTTCTATCAACCTTAATAAATATACATAAGTAGTTTTAACCACCGTCCCTTCCCACACTCCAACCGGTTTCTACCACTTTATGCATTTGTTTCAACCAATTTATTGTTGGTTTACAAAATGACCCATTAGTCTCGAAAACCATCAAAAGTTTATAATGAAAATCATATTTACATTACATTCCAGTACAAGAATTTAAGAAAAAATGAGATAAGAGTAGACCTATATAGGCTATAGCGTCGAGTGAGACTATCGTCATGGATTATGTTATAGATAAATCGACTTAACTAGTCACACGTAAGCCACTTCTACGAGTGGCGAATCCAGGATTCTCTAGAAAGGTGTGGGAGGGGCATATAAGCCTGAAATTTATGCGACATGAAAAAAAAAGTACATCAGTTATTGTTGTGCCGTTTGGGATTGAAAGTTTTGTGACAGTTTATTTTCTCAAAAGAGATTCAAATGATTTTATTTCCCATGCAAAACGTTATACAATGCAATGTTATTTGCAATTTAATAAGTATATAATGTACAATACATGAATGATTGCAAATTCCTTAGAAAGAGTTAAAAGCAAAAAGAGGGAAAAAGGGATTGAGTCGAGAGTCAAATAAACTGATAGTCATGCATACCGACGAGTCAAAAGACCATGAAAGAAGAAAAAAAAGGTCATCAGGTTTTTGGTGTACAATGAAACATGAAAAATGAGAGCAATGGCACGAGAAAAGAGGGACTAACTAACTAACTAGAAGCAGATCATGTTGAAATATTAGTTCCTCAGGGGCTGGTTTACAATGCGTCTTGAAACCAAGGTATACCGACCAGGCACGTAGCCACGGGCGGGGGGGGGGGGCAAGTGCCCCCCCCCCCCAAAAAAAAAAAAAAAATTTCCAAGATCGGTTGAACTTTTTTAGACCCCTTCCCAGGACGTCGATCGATGTCATGTATGTGTCCCCCTCCCCAAACATTAAACTCGGGCTATGGCCCTGATACCGACCAAGCACGTAGCCACGGGGGGGGGGGGTATTCCAAGTATTCAAATTATGCAAGGAAGTACGTTTACTTTCTAGACTTCCCCGTCAGACATTATTGAGTGACTGATCTATGACTGGCATCTTTTTTTCTTTGGTAATAACTTTAATGTTGTCTTTCATAAAAATGCCTTTGGAAATTCACCTGTTCATTTTTGTTATAAGATGGGTAGAAGAATCCCTGCAATCTGATTGGTCAATTACCATGTAATTATTTGTTTTCGTTTTTTTTTCTTTTTTTTTCGTTTTAATAAAAAAAAAATTATATAATTTTTTTTAATGATTTTTTTGATTATTTTTTTTTTGGTGATAATTATTTGTTTTTCGTGTTTTTTGTTATTTAAAATCTGAAGAAAAAAAGAAGAAAAATTCTATAATTTTTTTTTCTTTTTAATTTAATGGTAAGTTAGAAATCATGCGTCCGGTAAAAAAAATCAAGCGTCCGGTAATTACAGGACGATGATTTTGCCATACATCCGGTAAATCTGTAAAATAACAACAAATTTGTATTTTTGATGGCCCCATCTTATAAAACAGGTGATGCACAGATTTAATTCGTGGGTCGATGGAATTGTGTGCACGCGGTACCTTTGAATTTGGTCGAAAACCATTCAAAGGTACTTGTGCACACAATCCCTACCGACGCACTCAAACCTGTGCATCATCTGTATATTGAAATGAAAATGGGACTACCTTTAAGGAGGGATCGATGGATCAAGTAGAATTTTTAGATACAAGACTGTGGCCCACAATCTGTTGATACCCCTGAAGTCACACTGCTTCTAATATTTCATACACGGATTTATTTATCCATGAGTTTTCAGGTTGTCATTTTTACTGCCCCGCTAACGCCACCTCAAGTTCAAGTTTATTCAAACCAAATCAAACATAAACAATGGTATAAGATATAACAGCAAGGAACACAAGAATGATAGGTTTGGGACCCCAGTGAAGCACAGCTTGTGAACGGGGCTCCTTTACATAGTAGACTATACAGTAGGTATATAATGGCAGATAATGGCAAGGAGTAACATAATTATTTACAACGAGTATAACTCATGTTTATGTAACAATGTAACAACTATAGTAACAACATAACAAATTATGCAGATGAGTATACCCCCCACCCCCCCCCCCAATTACAACACATACACAAACATTCACACACACACACACACACGCACACACACACATAACGTACACTTCATACATGGCTACCTCATCTTGTTTTATAATACATTCATGTATCTGATAGCAATCTGTCGAAAAGGTGTTTTTTACAACATATTTTAAACCGAGACAATGTAGTAATGCTAATTATATTAAGGGGTAACTTATTCCACTTTTTAACACAGACAGTTCTAAATGATTTTAAGGCAGTATGGGTCCTGGCGTATGACTGATGGACAAGGTTACTCTGACGAGTATGATAATGATGGATGGAAGAGTTTTCCACAAACACATTAGTCAAAAATGTATACTGGAGTGATTGACATTTAAACATAAATATTAAGCAATTAAGAGATACCAATTCATCAAAAGGCAAAATATGCAGTTGCAAAAACAAAGGAGTACTAGGTGATCTATATTCTGAATTTGTTATATACCTAACAACTTTCTTTTGAAGTACTTGCAACTTATGTACATGGGTCCTAAATGTGTGACCCCAAGCAATATTACAATACATCAAATGAGGCATAATAATAGCATTATATAAAGTAACTAAGGTGTATTGGGGGAGGAAATAACGAAGTTTGGATATCACTCCGGTACTGCGAGACACTTTAGTACATACTTTATCAAGATGTTCTTTCCATGATAAATATTCATCAACCGTAACACCAAGAAATAGCACATGTTGACTGCGATTGATCTGTTGACCACCAACAACTAAGGGGTGAATATTTTCAGGGATTTTCCTCCCTCTAGACCTAAATATTACACATTGAGTTTTACCAGTATTCAATACCTGGCCGCATGATCGAGAAGGGCCGAAAATATGGCCATTGATCGAGATACTGATATTATCGGGGAAATCCCAGGCCCCCTCCTCCCCTCCTTCGGCCTCCCCATCCACCCCCCCCCCCCCCCCGCCTCCCCCATCCCGACCCAGCTTTATATGATCGTCTACATCAATAAGAAATGAGTACTTAAGATCTCCGCTACGCATGCAAAATACTTCCTGCGCTAGCAGACTACATTTTTTTAACACGTTGATGTCCGACAGTGCGAGTCAGCGCGGGACGAATTTTACCATCGCAAGCTGAATCAGGTGAAAATCTTATTTCATTGCAATTATCATATATAATGGTTTTAAAAAGTTGTGTAGTTATTTCAATACGTTATATTAAACTTTGGAGTAAACCGAAAAACAATTCAACATTTGCTTCATTTGAATTTATGAGGAACAAGATTCTTAATAATCATAAAAATGCAAAGTGTAGTCCTACACATATTAATTTGTGTTTGCTCTATGATTGGCTCTGACGCCATCGCCATCCACTCGAGCAACCTCGAGCAAAGCATAGCTAGGCCTATAGAGAGTCAATGCTAATGCGATTGGACCTCTAGCACTGCATTACGTGTTAATAGGCAGCATTTGAATACATGAATAGTCAATACACTCATAACACAATCATGCCGATGCGGCTGATTGGCGAGTTTGACAGTGGACTCGCAATTTGAATTTTTAAATTATTCTTTCTAACATCGGAAAGTTGAAAAAAAATTGTATTTTACTGCTATTTAGGTGTCATCAATCGTCAATTAAGTACCTATATTTAGTGAAATTATTTGAGTTTTGTACAGTCACAGTGGTGTTTGAAATGTTGAGAATCAATAGCACAGCTTTTAATACACAGCCAGGATAATGCACCTATGTGTGTCGCCATCCGGCGTCTCATTTTTGTAGTGGATTATCATTTGATGTAATTTAATTTGTAATTTGTATGTAATAATGCAATTATCTATAATTTGTATGTAATAATGTAGGCCTATTATGAAATTTGTGTGTGATAATGTAAGTTGTATGAAAGTAATAATGTAAAGTGCTTAGTGGATTGTCATAGATGATTATTATGCGATATATAAATCACAATTATTATTATTTTGGACAACACCCCTTCAAATCAAGGGCTGCAACGAGAAACACTTTTTGGTACTCACTTTTTTCAGCAATGAACTTTAGTGTAAGCTAGTAGTATGTTTACTCTGTAGGCTTGTAGCTTTAAAATTAAGAAAAAATAGAATACAGTAGATATCTTTGTTTTCAGAATTCAGAAATTATTCTTGAAAGAATTCTATTCAATCGTAGTCTAGAATCTATTCAATAGAAGAGAGGAACTGTTCTTTATCAATTACAGTTGATGAATTGCAGTTGATTTTCTCATAATTCTCTCTTATTTTCACTCCAGTATGCCGAGTTTCAAGTTGCTCGTGAAGAATGCCAAACAGGTAGTTCAGGTTTGTGATGGAGGTGAGACGTGCCTCATTGGAGACAGCATGAAGAGTCTGGCCCTTATACAGCAGAACAACGAAGATGGAGTGGATATTGTAGTTGGAAGGTGAGCATTATTAATATTATGGGGGAGCTAGGGTGATGATTACTTTTTGAAAAAAGGAAATAGCATAGAATGTGTCATTGTTCGGAGGAACTTGGAATGTAATTCATCAGTGATAATAGTGATGATTCTATTTTACTTTAGTTGAAGAAGAAAATTAAATAAATAAAGAGTATGATAATAGTGGTTTCTTGTATATATAGTTCTATTTTCTGGGAAATATGACACTCCTGGTGCTCCAGTATTATTTATCCTAACACTTGAGGTATAGTAGATGGATAGTTGCTTTTCCTAATAGGAGGGATACACATTTCACCATGGGGGTCTCGCACTGGTTTACTTTGAGAAAATGGGAAGGGGTAGCACAGTTTATATCCCCATCTTTATGAAAATCGCATCCGTGGTTGCATTGAATTCAATTCAAATCGTATTTGGATAATATGATTGACTTATTTCCTGCATGTGATTGATATAAACCTGCTTTTCCACCTTTCAGATACTGGTAATGCGTCTTGCATCTCCACTCTCTTTTGTTCTTTTGATCTAAGGAGAGATTTTTGCTCTGTTCTTGTTTTATATGACAGAGATGGCACCATTGTTGCAGTTGATCACAGCAGTGAGATTCAGAAGAAGTATGGCGCATGTGAATTTGATCAGACACTGGATGCTACTAATATGTGTGTTATTCCAGGTCAGTAGTATATGATGTGAACTATGCATACTTGCAGTCATTTTGGTCATTTCAGTCATTCAGTAGATCTCTGAAGAAACAGATTATGAACTTTTTTCTGCATCTTTTATTCTGAGTACTAAGCTTTCTTTTCTAAGAATATTTTAGTATTTTGCAATACTTATTATCACCTACCGGTATCTCATCATCTTTTCTATGCCATTTAAGACTATGCCCCCTCCCATCTTATATCACATTCTCTACACCTGTGTCAGTCCCTCATGCACATGTACATTACTTTCGAATGTGGAGCATGGAATATTTTGGTTATCCTTTTAGGTCCAGGGTTGAAGGGATGTAATTGGTGTAGGAAAGGACTGAAGAACAATTGTTGCTGTAGCATGTGTTGTATAACCACCATTTCACTTGAAAATTATTTTCATATAACTGTTCCCTCTCTCTCTCCCTCTCTCTCTCTCTCTCTCTCTCTCTATCTCTCTCTCTCTCTCTTTCTCTCTCTCTCTCTCTCTCTTGATTTCAAACTTCCAGGATTGATTGATGGCCATACGCATCCTGTGTGGGCTGGAGACAGAGTTCATGAATTTTCAATGAAGGTAAAGTCTTAATACTTGGTCACCTTCTTTTTGTTAATTTTTTTTAATTCCTATTAATTCATAAAACTCCAACATGAGCTCATGTAAAATGAAATTGTAAAATCATGGCTCAGATTTGCACATGTTTTGTCATAGTTAATCTTAGGTGAGCTGCCTTTTTCCAAAGTGCATGCACATTATTTTCTTCACACCTATCTACAAAGTGGTTACATACTGAAGCTGCACACACAGGGTAGGCCTACCTATGTAAAGGTATGTTGTTGGTGATAGGTTCTATGTGAAAGTTTTATAGAGAAAGATATATACCGGTAATCAATTCTATGTACCGGTATACAATTTCAAAATGCAATTTTTAGCCCCCCCCCCCCCCCCCTCCCCCCTCCCTTGGTATTTATTGATTTCTTTCATTCACTAAACTTGTAGCTAGCTGGTGCTTCCTATATGGATGTGCATAAGGCAGGTGGCGGAATACACTTCACAGTCAACCACACACGGAACGCCACAGAGGACGACCTCTATGACCTGCTGAGAGCCAGGTTACAGAGCATGTTGAGATGTGGGACCACGACCGTAGAGTGTAAGAGTGGGTATGGTCTGGATGCAGAGACAGAGATCAAGATGCTGAGGGTGTTAGAGCGAGCAAAGAGAGAGCTTCCTATTGAGATATCAAGCACCTACTGTGGAGCACATGCTGTTCCAAAGTGAGTCTTTCCTCCCTCTTGATATATGTTATTGTCCACCACAATTAGCAAAACAATATAGGCACAAGTAAAACTAAATCCCTTTCTTCATTCTCAATCCTCTCCATACAATTGGTTGCATATTTGATCATAAAAAGATATATTTGTGCTAACTAATGAACCAAATAACTTAGAATTTAACATTTCAAAATTTCATTCATAGATATAAATGGTAACATTTTGGTATTTTATCTTGCTAAATTTAAAATTCCTGTCTGTGTATAAACCTGTTTTTTTTTAAAGTATGTTCTCTCTTCTTCTAATATCTGTAAAATATTTACGTGCATCTTTTTTACTCTCTTGGAAGGTTTTTAAGAATTAACTATTATGACCAGTGTGATTTGTGTGATCAAAATTATGATGATCTGACATTTATCTAAGATTAATATCTTTCATTGAAAATGAAGGGTTAGAGTCAAGCTGCAGTTGGGCTCTAGGTTAGATGTAGGGCTATGGATTTGTAAAGTGTAAGCTCCAAGTTTAAAGTTAGGAATTTGTTTAATGTAGGAAATTGACTGTGAATGTCACCAGAGAAGTGTTTTGCAGAATCCCAAATAATATCTTATCTTGTAATCTATATACCCATATTTCCATGTACAGGGACACAGGCATTTCATTGATTTGTTGTTCTAATGATAATAAACACAAAGCTACCTACAACACATTTCAACCATGCCTTGGCAGCTCATTTTCTTGTGATGTTGAATTCATGACCCTAAAATGATTCCCAAATTTCATGAAAATGTGACCGTGTGTTTTGACAGTACTACAATTAATTTGTCATCCCCCTCTTCGTCCTTCTGCTAATCCATCTCTAGAGGAATGACAGTGAAGGAGGCTACCCTGGATGTCATCGAGGTCCAGCTCCCCAGGATCCAGGACCTGATGAGCAAGGGGGAGCTGCAGGTGGAGAACATTGATGTCTTCTGTGACAAGGGTCTGTTTGAGACAGAGGAAACCAAGAGTATCCTGGAGGCTGGTGTCAGGGCGGGGCTGGCCATCAATATCCATGGAGACGAGCTCCACTATGTCAAGGCTGCTGAGGTACATTGTAACAGTCCGTGTTCAACTTGTGTTTATAGTTGTCAAACACAAGTTTAGATACTGGGATTATAACAACTGTGTATACTGTCACCTAATTTTGTGCTCATTTGTATTGATTTATGATGATTTATGTAAGTTAGGGGAATTAATGACCCAATCAGAAGAAGTAGCTGTGCAACATGAATGCATCTGTTGTTATTTCTGTTTGATTTGATTCTTTGTTTGTTTCAGCTCGCAGCCAGTCTTGGTGCCCGAGCCGTCTCTCATCTGGAGGAGGTCTCTGATGCTGGTATCAAGGCCATGGCTGAGGCAGGCTCTGTGGCTGTCCTCTTGCCAACCACTGCCTATATCCTCAGACTGAAGACACCTCCAGCAAGGCAGATGATCAGTGAGGGAGTGGCCGTAGCGCTAGGCTCCGATTTCAACCCCAATGCATATTGCCTGTCCATGGTAAAAACCAAGTGTATTGTCCCCCCTCCCCCTTCGCTCTCTATCTCTTTCTGTTCTTCTTACTTGCTATTTATGTCATACCCCGGCCATCTTGCTCTCATATTCCTCCTCTGATCTCTCCATCTCTCTCTTTCAACCCCTTCTCCCTCGCTTCCTTCTTGTCTCTACCTCTTCCTCTCTCTGTATCTGCTTGTATTGCTTAAAGCTTATCAGTACTAGTTTACAGGAGGGATTAGACCGCTCTGCAAGGTCACTGGACAGGTGGTTATCTCATCAACTGAGCTCTCAGTTAACATAAGATAAAGAGGCTCATGGGGGACCAATGGTCACCGATTAGGCATTGTTTAATATAGAGAGGGCGCAAGTAGGTACAAGTAGTGCAGTGGGCCTTTAATGTAAACAATTTCTCTTACGGTTGTTTTCAATATTGAATTGTTTGCCCTTTTCTATTGCTTGTTGTTTCCTGTTTCTTTGTATTATTTCCTCCTTTTCATTCTCGGTGATATCTTCACTCTAGTTATATGTGTGCTTCTCTAAAAAAAAATCAAGGTAGCATTGACCTATCATCAGTAATTGTGACTGATTGACTATAAACCTCATTTATGTCTCATAATCTAGATTGATGAAATTGAAAGTGTAGTGATGCTTAAAATTTTGTGTCAAATTCAAGTTGAAATCATACCTTGACTTACTCAGATTAAGAAATTGATATATGGATAATGTAGAAACAAAATGATAAGACTAGTATAGAAGGAAAGAAATAGTTACACTTATTTGAATTCAATAGTAAAACATATCAGAACAAACAGTCAAAGCAAGCTACTATAATGCATACCATTTTCTTCCAGCCTTTAACCATGCACATGGCCTGTGTGACATTTCGTATGTCATTGGAAGAGGTTCTAGCGGCTGCTACCATCAATGCAGCCAAGTCCATCGGGAGGGCAGCAACCCATGGGTCATTGGAGGTCAGAAAGGTTGCTGACATGCTTATCATCAATGCTCCAAGGTACTTTTAACATTTGTTTATCACATTCGGCTAAAAACTTGGACATTTTATGAGCATAATTTTGTTTGCAGGGTCTGTTGATGCCAGGATTAGGTTTTAGGATCATCAAAGAGCTTATTGCATCCTCTTAACAAAAAGCATTCTGTTGAATGGATCTAAATATATCGATATGATTCTTTATCATTTTAATGCTTTCCAACTATTAATGATATGGATACAGATTGCCTTACAGAATTTTCTTTCATGCCCGTGTGTTCTTGTTTTGTTTTGCCTCTATCCCGGCTTTGTTAATGATCATTTTGTACCCCTTTGCCCTCTCTCATATACATCTTCTGTTTCCATGGTAACAGATGGGAGCACTTTATCTATCAGATGGGATGTCATCAAGAGCTGCTCAAGATGGTGATCAAGAGAGGAGAAATTGTCCATTCCAGTCAGCTCTAGCCACCTACCACTAAGCTCTCTCTACCATATCAGCCCAACAACATAAACTTTACCAAGACCAGAATTTGACAGAAATTGCATTTTGGTATCAATTTGTAATGATAATAAGAAGAGACCACTTCAGAAATAGCACCTGTACAAATATCCACAGATCTTTGAAACATGGAGAAGTCCCAGTTTGTTCATTTTAGAATAATCACTGTCAAAGGGAATGAGGTGCATCATGAATATATTTTGTTTAACCTCCTGAAAAAATACTTCATGCAATGTCTGCCAAAGTATTGATTCATAAACAGCTCGGTCTTCAGATTTTAGTGGTCAACATCAGTGGCCATTGTCAATTCAAGAGGGTGGTGAGGTGGGGAAGTAGAAGATGGAAAGACATCTTTAGGGAGAGTTGAAAATGACTTAGGCGTCAGGCTGAATTTGACAAAGAGTATGAATTTTCAAAAGGAAGTTGAGTAATATTGTATATTTGATGGTTATATGGTGTAGATTGTGTTGATGTATATAAAGTAGTTATAATCAATGATCATAATTGTATGAATCAAATGATCTTGTCAACTTCTCTTGAATGTGAGAACAACAACAAATCATTTCATTTCATTATTGTGAGAACAATCTAGTTCCGAGAGGATACCCTAAGTGCCTTTCCAGCTATTTTTATTCAAATGAATCAGTATTGAAAAATTACACATTTTGTACTGCCAATCTATTCATTTTTGCACTGAAATATGTAAGATACCTATATTTATGCATCATATCACATCTTGCTATCAAATTAAGTGGATAGTTTTCGCGATCACATTTTTTTAGAAACATACATGTATATAGACGATAAAAGTATTCTTGTAGACATTTTTAGAAAGATTTTTATCTCACAAAATGAAGAATCATTCCAAATTTATTAAAAAAAAAAAAAAAACAGATATGAATTGTTTTGCTGTTGGTGATACTTTATATGTCTGTACACCATTACCGGTACATGTATTTTGAATGAAGAATCAAGCATGTTATTTACATTCCATTGATAATCTGTCCCTCACTGTGCAAGGTAATTTTATTTGTGTGTGCCTGAACATCAAGGTTTTAACATAAACCACCAACCCTTCAGAAAAATTCTCCAATCATGAAGCGACATGAAGCGACATGAACCTCTGCTAATTGGTCAGTTGTAGATGGTGTAAATCCCAGTTCTATATTTTGAGTAACACGACTGGTGTGAATTTGTTCTATTTTGGCCTATTGCAGATATCTTTGATTTTCAATAAAATTCTTGCCTAGAATACATCCGTCTTCATTCATATATTCTCCTTGCTTGTATAAAAATGAGTCATTGTTTCGGTGTCATGGATGTGTGTAAAGATGTTTTCAAAAATCTAAATATACAATTACATGCAAATACATACATTAATTCAAGGTATATCATACTTATTTTGTTGTGCAGCTGGAAAAAGGGCTCATTTTGCTGTTCTGTTCTGCTAAACACAGATGCACACTATTGGGTTAAGCAGGACGTTAGCAGTACAATGCCCCTAACTTAAAATGCATTATAATTATTTGATATAAAATTATTCAGATTAGCTAGTTACGATATTAAGACAAAGTGCTTGGTGGTCTCTAAGAAGAGCAGTCCAAAATGTAACTTGAAACTGAAAGAACAGATTATTAAACAAGTCTCCTCATTTAACTACCTCGGCAGCATGATCACCGAGGATGCCAGATGTGAGACAGAGATCAAGAGAAGGATAGCCCTCACTAAATCTGCATTTTCAAAGCTAGGCAAAATTCTGACAAATTGAACAATGAGTATGGGGACCAGAATAAGAGTATTGAATTGTTACATACATGTATACCCAGGACTTATGTATGGTAGTGAAACGTGGACTTTAGCCTCTGATACTAAAAAGCGTTTGGAAAGTTGCGAAATGTGGTTCTAAGGAGAATGATGAAAATCCCCTGGACTGACAGAGTTGGTAATGAGGAAGTTCTTACACGAGCTGGAGTGCAAAGGAAAATGATACGCGAGATGTTGATTAGGCAGTTGAAGTTCATGGGTCACATTACACGTAAAGAAGGCCTAGAGAATCTTGCACTGACGGAAAATTATGGGAAGAAGGAGGATACTTTGGATGGACAGTCTGCAGAAATTGTTGAAAGAGAGAGGAGTGAAAGAACTGGGAGTGGTACTAATACGGAAGGCTAGAAACCGAGGGTTGTGGAACAGCATGATCGCCAAAGTCAATCGATATGGCACTTAGAGAGAGAGAGAGAGTTACGATCCATTTTCTCTTTTGTTTTACAAGGAGAGAAATCTCTGTCATGTTTGAAATTATATGACATGGCTTTAACAGTCACCTTTTAAATGAGTAATCAGAAATTTGCTTGGTGGAATGCACGAGTACTAAAGATCTTCTGCCGGCAGCGCTATGATTTCTTCTGTCTGCTCTATTTCTACTTCTCTCTTTCAGTCTTTCCAATTTATATCATGATCGGTCTCTGACCCCTTTTCTTACACATTTTTTTTTTATCACTCCTCCGACACCATTAAATAATTATTTGTCTTCTCATGATTTCCAAACCTTGAAGAATATCAGTGATCTGCTAATTGCTGACAATTGCCCCAGAAAATTTGTCAAAGGTTCACTGTGTTTGGTTTAATAGTGTTGGGTTACGATTGGGTTTACGGTAAGGACTGGATGTAATGTTGGGTCAAGAGTTGAAGCAAAGAACAGTGTACCGGTAGGATATTTCAAGGAGCGATTGTTGCATGAGTATGTGTTGGTAGATGACAAAAGTTACTCCTCTTTGATTGTCACACCAGTAACCAGGGGCCTTTTTCTTGAAACTATTTTATGTCAAAGTTCTTGAACATCCCATAAAAATGTATTTTATAGAACTATGGGACAGTAACAAGGAACTGACCCAGATCCATTTTCTCATCAAATCTCAAAATCAAACTTAAAATAAAAGAGATGAAACTCCAATTGGTAGCTCCATGAACCCTTAAAGGTAATACAAAGTTTTGGTAAGGGGTCATGAATTTGGTTCAAATGAACAAATTGGAAGCATATGCGATCCTAAAATATTCAGTGATTGTTGAAATCACGGTTGAAATCGAGTCTAAAGTTATGAAATTGTAAATAATACACTCTTTATGTTGTATAGTTCCCTCTCAAGGTCAAGATATTAATTAAGCTATAAAACAATGTTTCTCAACTAAAATCGACCGATTAGCTATTCCCATTTGGAAATTATATATCACAACTACATATTTTGAGATATTCATGGCCGCAGCTACCATCGTACGGCTGTATAGGCGCTATTTGAAATTAATCAAAATTTACCGGGAGCACCGGTTAATTTTTATTTTCAATATTTCTCGAAAGCCAAAGTGGTTGAGGGGCTGAATTTTCTAGTGATTATAATACATCCACAGGAGCATTAAAAATATCAAAATTGTAAAGAATCACTTCCAGCCAATTTTCAAAATTTCCCAAAACTTTGTATTACCCGTAACAGCTCAAATGACTTCTGGAACAGTGGAGTGCTATAGTCGATTTTTGTACAGTGTATAATTGTACTCTAAATACAGTGGTAGTCTACATGTAGGTATTTTATCTAAAGAGAGAATAAACTTAATAAAGAATTAATATTTTTAAAAACCTGTTTCAAAGTTTAAAGAAATCAATGGACAATGGTCCTTGGTTTTGAAGTTTAAACCGTTCATAAGCACCCACAAATATCACTCAAACCTGCTATTTTCAATAGCTAGAAGTTCAACACAAGAAGTCATATTTCATATACTTTATAATACAAAATGTTTATTTGTACATCTACTCATGATGGTAAGATACATGTAACTAATTTACAAGAAAGCAAATAAAAGAAATAATGAACATTTATATAATGGGTCCTAACAAATTACAGGACTTAACTCGCCAGGAATGAGTTTACCATGGAACACAATGCAATTTTCACCTTTTGACATTCTTCTGTCCAGTCAAATATTGGATAAATTTCAGCATACAAAGCATCTCTTCTCTTAAGGCATGAATGTAGGCCTACCTTCCATGTCAGGTAAAATCAAGAATACAGTATATCACTATATTTCATAGGCATTTGCACAAAACTTCTTCAGAAAAAGAGTCCAGGAATCAAGGGTTCAAAACAGTTGGTACCTTAGTATAATTTTGCCAAATTAACACACACAATAAAAAAGACAGGGTAACATTTTCAGTGAAATTAATTATATTTCCATCACATGTTGGCTGGCAGAGTAGAGAGAAAGTGAAGCGTGATTTTAAAACCAAATCACTAACAAAGAAGAAAAACGGTAAGGGGGAGGGGGGGGGGGGGGGGGGGGGGGGGGGGGGGGGGGGGGGGGACATAAGACAATAACAGTCATGGCACAATACATAGATAAATCTTGATACTGCGTACAGCTTCACATCGTATTCTGTTCCCGAGTCCAACCATCATCCTGTTCTATGTGGAATGTCCGATAAAATTATCCTCTAGGGAGAGGCGCCATCTGCTTATTGAGATCTCCCTATACCATTCTCCAGCTGACTTTCCAGGATGCAACCAACTACTGGACGATCATATACACATATGTACAGAGTTCAAGTTTGTTCATGCTTCATTCAAACGATAGTACTGCAAGCAGCTGCTATTCTCTCATTTCTCCATCCTCTTCCTCCTCTTCCACACCGCGAATGTACATTACATTGTTACACCTACAAAGAAGATTGAAAAATAATACATTCATTAGCAAAAGCTTTTGTTATAGACATATTTTTTTACATTTGCACTTGGGTTGTATACAGGAAGCAAAATTCTGCAGCAGTTTTGTATATCATCTTCACTACTAAATACATTTTTATCTAGGATTGAGAATTACCACCAAATTTGTAAGCAAACAGCAAATGAGAACTACCAATAAATGTATTGTACATGTACATCTAAACCTAGATTACAGGGCTTCATCTTGGCATGTACATGTACAAGCATGAGACATGAAAACATAATTGCATCCAGAGCCATTTCGGTAAAATTGAGATAGAAATCACAAGCAGAACTGATCTTTCAGATTCAATGCTACATGTAGCATTCTACCGTAGAAAACATTAGCTTTTGATATTATGACGTCACAACGATAGTGTACATGTATGTAAATAATGAAAGAGCAATTTGAGAAAGGGTAAAAACAACTAGTCTCCCTACCAAAGTGTATGAGAGAAGCATAAAGCAAGAATAATGTAGTTTCCCAGCATAACATGGGCATCAACATTTTCTTGATATCATAACACACTACACCTGTATGTGAAGTCGTTTATCAAGTAAATGCATTCAAATTTATGGATGCTTCCTTCCCAGGTGTGTGTGTGTGTGGTGATGAATATTAATAATAATTTGGATGTAGCGCTTATAATACGGAATACAGTCTATAAGCGCTTTACATATTATTTCCCCATTTCTCTCTTGGGTATGAAGTGGCAAATGTACATGTAGATTAATACCTTGCCAAAAGGCATTAGTGCTGTGTCAGAGATCAAACTTAAACTACCATACTTGACTACGAAACTTCATTCACCTGCTATTATCCTTTGTATTACCATTGCCAGAATACAAATTGCATAAATAAGTAGGTGCTCTTCTGGGGTGAAGCCGCGACAGTTTCTCATAAATGAAATAGATTTGTCAACTGCAATCTTTCCAGCTATAGTGGTGCATGATACATGTATAACTTCACCAACTACGTCACATTTTTCAAGAAAATGGCTGCGCCCAGGTCATGCTAAATGGCATTACATCGTGCCAAGAATATCTTCATTTATACATCGCTTACACATTTTTCTAATGAAGGACATGAATACATGTCTTTTTCAGAAGACCTACACTTATTCGTTGGGGTGAGATTTCCTTTAATATATATATATATCCATCTGAAGGTCTCACAGAGTGCTAGTGGGGTAATTTTACTTCTTCTAATATAATACTTTTAGGGGAGGGAAGAACTCTCCCCTTTTATGGGGAGACGGATTTGAGGTCTTGTACTAGTTTGAATTAATGTCGTACTTTTGTACACACACATACACACTAGTAGACTCTGTACACAACATACCTGATCAGTACTTCACCAAGATTCCCTGTAAATGTTCCATCAATGTATTCTTCTGTGCTTGCAAGCTGGAGGAAAAAAAAGAAATATACAATTCAGATTATAATCACTTACAATGCCAGGTAGTGAAGATGTGTATTTGTAGATAGTTTCTTCATGTACATAATACTCAAAGTACATCTGCTTTTCTTGCAGGAAGACCTACGTGTACATCTTAAAATGAGGACATTTTCTCCCCGAGTCTCTCTCCTATTTTTTGTACATAAACGATTTACCACTGAACTGAATCTGATTGCTATTGGGCAGGTCCAAGCTAGTTTCCGCTTGGGTGTCAAAAATTAAAAGTCATTAAAATAAAGCGAATATATGTAATTTTAACGCTAAAACTTTTAATTTAATGATCTTTAGAAGAAAAAAAGAATTAGTAAATTATTGATTCCTACCCTAATTATTCAAAATGAATATCAATTAACGCGACATACAGGGTGATGCATTTTTCATATATGAATATTCAAATAATTTTTTTAAACTGTTTTCAGGCTTGGACAAAGAGAACTAGCCATGCAAGTAATTGAGAATGAAAACAAATTTGTTTGAAAAATAATGAATAATGCTAATTAGTTGATGTCAAACGTACAATGTCTCATACGTAGCAATGTTGATGTCTGTTTTTCACATTCCAAGAATGAGATTTTTCCCAAAAATGTTTTAATGAAGTTCTGGTATACAGTGCATATAAAAAAAGTGTACCCAACTATGGTAGCTCCTGATTTGAAGTTCATAACCAATATAACTTTGAAGTCTATTTCATGATGAAGAGTAATTTGTTTTCTGTCCAATAATACCATATTCATATTTCTGCCACAGGTGACTAAGCACCAGGGCCATTAAAAACTGTTGCCCAAATTGCCTTGTACTAAGTTTGGGCTGATGGAACGGTGTGTGTCAGGCCATATGCATGGGTTTCTTTTAAAAGGTAAATTATGCATCGTGCATCAGTGTTTCATTGTTCAAAATGATGCAATTTATCGAGGTTTTTACAGAAGCATGTTTCAATCCATAGGATAACCTTTAATTATTTTGAACAGCCTACTAACTTCTTTCTTTTCTCTTTTGGTTGGTCAGTAAGTTATCTTGGAAACATTAGATATTTTGCATTGAAACCTATATACTCGTGTACAAAGCCTATGAGGTAATCACATCTCAACCCTTCTTGGCCCAAAAAGAAACAATTTTTTAAAGTTTTACCATGCAATGCTTCTGTAAATTAGCTAACATAATACATTTCTATCATAAAATATGTTTTTTGTGTATGTTATATTATAAGGACAAATCATCCGTACGTCACACACATGTATGTATGATTGATGTTTAAAAACGAAAATATATTTCCCTTTATAATTCTGAAGATTTTTGATGACTTTTGTGGTTGAAAAATAATTTTTATCTCTAGTCCCATATCATCATATGTTATGCCTCATATCAATTAGAATTAACCCTCGTTAACAGGACTATGTTACAAATTTCTGTGCATGTACACTGTACTTAAAAAGGTACAACTAGCTATGATATCACCAGAAATGTTTTGATTTGTGAATTGCATTTCAAAATTAGACTGGTATGTAGATTCTGATCTGTCAAGTACGTCACACTCACACAGGTCAAATAGCTTGGACTAGCCCTATTACAATGCCACTCAACCGGTATTTCAAAGCTTTGTAATGAATCACAATAGTTTATATTACCTGAACATTCATGTAGCCATCAACGGATACCAAGTAGCCCTTGTACTCCATTCCCCATTTGAGTCGAACCATCACAGTTTTCCTGTAAGACCATTTAAAAATGGCTTAGGGTTCAATGGCATTCCCTGGAGAGAAAAAATTAAGAAGTAAAGATATCATACTTTAGTGAAAGTTTGATCACAGCCAGTTTAGATGATTATTGCAACAGTGTACCCTGAAGTTAAAGCTGTTTTCTTTTTTTTTTTAAACCAGGCCTCGCTCATTATCATCATCACGTGGAAAGTAAGCAAATCCCTCTCCGGTTGCAAATTTTCACATGTTTAGTTAAATTCTTGACTAATTACGAAGTGCTTCGCATGAGAAGAGAAAGAGTCAACTAGCAAGCGTACGTGGACAAGCTTACGCGTGTTGCTTAGCTGCATGCACTACTGCGCATGCGTACTTTCTCTATGCCATGTTGAATCAACGATACAACATGTGGATGAATCGTCGGGGTAGGACGAAGAATCAACCCCTTTTTTCCCATCGAAGACTTCTTCAAATTATAATTTCAAGTAGCCGGCGAGATGCCCAGAGGAGTCGAGCAACATAGTAGGGTGTCTGATCGCGCACCCGATGTTGTGTGCTAAAATCCCTCCCATAGAGATTGCACGCATCCCTATGTAACCCTGGAAGTTGGGGCTCTGATCGAATCGGAAGATCGGAGCGACACCCTCGCACCTTTGATCGGTATTGGATCGGAAGATCGACCAAAAAAAAATTGGCTGATTTTTTTTATTATTTTTTTTTATGACGAAAATTTTCGAGTTTTTAGCTATCAAATGCTCAAAAACATTCATGGCTGGGATTATTTTGTCGTTTGGACTTGTTTTTTTTCATCGGCGCTCTGCGGGTTTCGGGTTACCGAACCGCCCGCTGGCAATGCCAAATTTGGATTCCCCAGGGGAAAATAACCCTAGTTGACCGTCTACTTTTATGGGTTGTCCGTCTTCCCAAGGATTTATTGCTAATAATGTGAAGGTCTCTATACAAAGTCGATGTAAAATGCATCAAGAAAATCATCCCGGAATTCGTTTTTTGCATCGCCAATGTGCCAATCAAATATAGAGTAAAGGAGCCGGTAATCGGCCAGCTCCAGTTTTCGGCCGATTGGTTGGATGCAAGGTAAAATCCCTCTAAAATACATCGCATAATAGCATAACACATATCCCACACATACCATACCATGCCAGTGTCACTGAAGAACCACATTTGCAATGAAAAATATATCCTAAAATATCACATTTTAGCGATGTAATCGGCGGTCCCGCTACCCGAATCTGGAAAATCGAGTATCTTACGCGTGTCTGTAAGAAATATAGGTACCATAAAATGAGCTTTATTTCAAGTATTTTTCAGATTTAGAGCCCGATTTTGTGCTAGTCGCAAGCTCAAAAGTATCTCATCGCATGTATTAAATCAATGCAGCCGCACACCGCAACGCACACACGATATCTCTGTCTAATTCAGATTCCAATATCCGATCACCGCAGTACTAGTTTTCTGCCTGGCGAGCTCCGGGGAGCTCGTGCGTGTGATATCAGCTCCGCCCGCTAGTGCTATAGATCAGCGCGGAAACGCACGGCGCGTGCGCGTGCTTCCTATTGACTTTGTACATGCGGCCGAAAACTGGTACGCTATGCCGAAAACTGACTCCGAAACAGTAAAAATTGAAATGAATATTGTCATGGCAATTCTTGATTCTTTTCTGGGATTCTTGTTTTGTTTAAATAATAATATTTGCTTCATGATTTGAACAAAAAACGATAATAAATAGGAAGTAAAGGGTCCAAAAATAGGATTTTGTCTTAAGTGGCCGAAAACCGGCTCCTTTACTCTATGGAACATCTGCTTTTTTGCAGAGGATCCTTGTTTTAGAGGACGCATTGGTCTGCGTTCACAAAGACGATCCTTATTCTCGGACTAGCGCCCCTAGATTCTACCGATTATTAGACAAATGGAAGAAGAAGAATTATTTTGTATGAAACACATAGGGTCTAGGCTAAGACTAGTCTACTACATGTCTACATCAGTGACGGCCCCCCCCCCCCCCTTGAGAAAAAAACCATGTAGATCTAGGATCTAAAACTAAAAACACACAATTTTTACCTTTTGGGGGGTTGGGCCCCCCCCCCCCCTGGCGCTCAAGGGAGGGGAGCAAATTTTGAATTTATCGAGGACCCCCCCCCCCAAAAAAAGTGCTCACTACCCCCCGCCCCCCCCCCCCCCCCCCCCCCCACTGAGCGACTTTTCGGCCGGCGCGATTTTCTAATTTTCGGGAGCAAAAATTTAAAAAAAGTTGGCCCCCTCCCCTAAGAAATCCTGGATCCGCGCCTGGTCTACATAGACCCTAGACCGAAATTTCCGTCTCTTTCCTTCGTTAGCCTCTGATTTGGGTAGGGTCGGCTCCTCCGAAAGAGACAGAAATTTCGGTCTAGGAACAACACAACTCCAAAACGTGACCGCAAACACATAACGATTTCTGTCCATATAGACCGTGGGCCGAGCGCGATTTTAGGGCTTAGTTTTCTTTTTTTTGACTGACTTTGTGGTACATAGTTTTTGGTAACCAGAAATTAGCATAAAAATACACAAGTCCCAAATCAGCTTATTCCTGCGAATGAATCTTTGTCGTTCGTATAAAACATAAGTTTTATTGACAAGTTATTTAAGAGAAATGTGCGTGAACGAGACCGCCAACTCTCCGTTCGTACACGTGTATTAACTCACCGTGCGACGAGAGTAAAACAGCACATTCTCCGTCTCCGTCGTACGAAGAAATTATGTAATCCATTCGAATATTTTACAAAGCCAATCACATTTGCTGATGTGAATAATATGATTTTGCAAATATGAACTGCGAAAACTAATGAAAACCTCGTCAGGGTGAAAATATTTCGAAAATGAGGGGTCATAGCTACCATGAAACAGACGAGAAATAGCGCGTTGCCAATTTGATATTATTGTAAGGATCGTATGCAATTCTCTTGAATATACACTGATCTGTGTAGAGATCAGTGGCTCCGTACTGACAAGACTCGAGTAAGTTTTGTGTAATTAAAACTTTTGATAAAAACATTTCTTGTATTAGCAATGCAATGGTAGTTTGAGAATAGGCCTACAGAATTAGAGTACCTAAATATTCATTGTAATTATAAAAAAAGATATATGTCTTTTTGTATTTCCAGTCTTGTAGTAGTTTTTTACATGTTTTCAAATGTTTTTTTTTTTTTTTTTGGGGGGGGGACACGCTTAATAAGGTATACGGGATGTGGGTGACTTTTCTTTCCTGGAGGAAGAAAAATGACAATGTTTATTCAAAATTACACTGCATTCACTGGCTTAAAAATTGATAACAAATACATGCTGAGGTATTATATGTGAAGTGTACAGAATGATGATGTATAATTTTATGTCGTCTGGATTTTGAAATCATGTGATGTTATTATAGTTTGTTATGTTTTGATGAACGGAATGCCCATCTACATGAATGTGTGAAGAACCATTTACTGGATGAGAATGTGAAATGGAAGATAAATGTCAGTATGCAAAAGCTTCCACTTAACCCAAAATATATAAATATACTTGTATATATGAGACATTCATTTGAAGAAAAAAAATCCTCCTCCAAAGGGGATGGGCCGGGAAAATTCATTAAACACCTGAAAAGACCAAGGACCTTATATGTCGGGTTTATCCTTGATGTTTTCGGCTTGCTCGTCAGTGAATTTCTTCGATGCCTCTCCCCCCCCCCCCCCCTTGGATCCACAGCTGCCAAATGATAAATTTAATGAAGTCTATATTCATTGAAGTGTTTCGGAAGTGATCCATATTCCATTTCAGGAAAGTAAAAAGAAAAACAAAATGAGTAGAACTAAAACGTTTTTTGGTGACATGTGACAATTTATTTCTTCAATCATTTATTCATGTTCATCTTTAATAAATTCATTGGTTTCTTCCTTTATAAAATATTTTATTTTTGGTTAACAAATTATGCCATGGGGCGGGGTACTCACATTTTGGTTCCGACTGGGGTGTGCCGCTAACAACTGACACCTTGTCACCATTTGTTCAGTCAAAAATGTCATAAGTCCTGACAAAATGTATAAGGCCGACAACTAACCCGTTCACATTCTCATCCAGTAAATGGTTCTTCGCACATACATGTAGATGGGCATTCAGTTCATCAAAACATAACAAAACTAACAGAAAATATGCTCTTAAATCTGTGTATTTTACTTATTAAACAATATTATTGAGTGTTTCTTGTAAGTATCGGCTTCTGGTATACAGATCTGACAGGAAGAGGGGAAAACATGGAAAAGGATATAAAACCTTCGGATACCATTTGTTTAGTCAAAAATGTATAAGTCCTGACAAATAAAATTTCTGTAAACCAAACATGTATGAAAACATTCTGTATAACTATAATAACATCACATGATTTCAAAATCCAGACGACATAAAATTATACATTATCATTCTGTACACTTCACAAATTATATACCTTAGCATGTATCTGTTATCAATTTTTAAGCCAGTGAATGCAGTGTAATTTTGAATAAACATTGTCATATTTCTTCCTCAAGGAAAGAAAAGTCACCCACATCCCGTATACCTTATTAAGCGTGTCCCCCCCCCCCCCCCCCCCCCAAAAAAAAAAAAAAAAAATCAAATCTAAAACTTCTAAAAAATTCTAACATTTGAAAACATGTAAAAACTACTACAGGACTGGAAATAAAAAAGACATATATCTTTTTTTATAATTACAATGAATATTTAGGGACTCTAATTCTGTAGGCCTATTCTTAAACTACCATTGCATCGCTAATACAAGAAATTTTTTCATCAAAAGTTTTAATTACACAAAACTCACTCGAGTCTTGTCAGTATACGGAGCCACTGATCTCTACACAGATCAGTGTACATTCAAGAGAATTGCATACGATCCTTACAATAATATCAAATTGGCAACGCGCTATTTCTCGTCTGTTTCATGGTAGCTATGACCCCTCATTTCCGAAATATTTTCACCCTGACGAGGTTTTCATTAGTTTTCGCAGTTAATATTTGCAAAATCATATTA